ATAATATAGCGGCTTGTAAATGGGCTTATGGGTGTGCTATAAGCCTGCACTTATGTTTGCAAGCCAATTGTCTTGTTCACTACATGTCTTCTGCATACACTCATGAAAGTTCATGTTTACTGCAGGTTCTTGGTCTTTTGTTCGTAGCTTGTTGAATGCTTCCCTACTCTTGCAGCATGTCCGCTATTATTGCTTGGGATTAGGTCAACAAACTCATTATAGGTTACCAATATTTATGTCATTCATCATGCTTATGTCTATTTATTTGTATGCTTGATTGAGATAAACATTAAAAGCCAACTACCATGATTCAAGAGTCCCATAACGCAACTTGTAAAAAGTCGTATCTCCTATAACCTTCTCATTGCTTGTAAACAAGTTATGTTTGCAAGCTTCATTGTTCATCATAATTTCATGGCTAGAATTGTTGTTCATCATTTTCATTTTAATCATGATTGTGCATTTTTTTAATTAAATATGTGATTCCTTATGAGTTTGATTACAAGTTCGATTCTCTGTTGTCCTTGTTTGAGTCAAGTTCAAATCCCCTGCAGACTTTTGGTTCAAGTCATGTGCATTTGTTCAACTTAGGTCCTCTGTTCTCTAGAAAATGTCTCCCGACGTCTCCCCCATTTAGGAAAAATTACAGTAGTTTGGGCCTTCCCACCAAGCTAATAAAAGTGTGTATAGTAGGTGTCGGGCGACATCGCGGCTTGTATTTTTAATCCCACCATGCTAATAAGAGCGTGCATGGATCTTCAAGGTACTTATTTGAAATGCATAGTTTTTCCTCGTAGGCATAGAAGCACGTGCACGAGTACTTAGGAGTGTTCTCATCATGCTAAAAAAAGCGTGTACATTGTCTACCTGCCTCGTCGCAAGCTTCGCACCAAACTTCCTCCTACAATGCTAAGAAAAGTGTGCATAGGGGATCCCCTGACACGCTGCGAGCACCGAAAATAACATTTTAAGGATTTTAAGTTAGAAGACAGTTATACTTTCATAAGGTGATCAATGGCGATGTGTCGGGGTCGAGGGCGACGGTGAAAATGTGCACAAAATTCTCCCTTTTTTGGATTTCTCTCTTTTTTAACTAAATAATAATAATAATAATAATAATAAGACTAATAATTAAAAATATTAATTAATAATGATAATTAATAATAACAATCAATGGAAATCGGGAAAATGAGTTGTTTTAGACTAGTTGGGGTGTTTAAGGCTTTTTGGAGGAAGATGGAAGGCTATTTAGTTGTTGGAGAGATATCAGGTAGAGAGAAGGAGAAGTTGTGAGTGAAGGTCAGATAGATATGAGGGAGCTCGGTTGGCACTGATTTGGTGGACTGAGGGATCACTGCAGTAGAGGCTGGTTTATGTGCGATTGGGTGGAAAACCGGCTAGGAGATCTGGGTGTTGGTCCGATCGAGCTACAGTGGCTGGAAGGAAGAATCAGGGCAGATTTCGATGACTGCATCAGCTATAAGGTTAATTGGAGCTGTGAGGGTGTCGGCTGCAGCGAATAGTAGACGGATAGAGTTGGGGTTGGGAGGATTTGAACGGCAGATCCGGCCGGAATGGGTAGTGCAACTGTCGGTTGGTGGAGCTGATAGAGGGAATGAGAGATTGTGGGAGAGGGCAGAGGCGGTCATGGAAGTTGGCTTGCGGCTAGGGCCGGAGGCAATTGAGATCCGGTTGATTGGAGAGGTTCGGCCGATCTTCGATCATGTAGGAGGCGTCTGGAGTTTGTGTAGGTTCGTTTAGCTGTGAAGAAGAGAGGGAAATTATGAGGCTAATCAGAGAAGGAGGATGGCTGGGTGCTCGAATCGAAGGGAGAGGCTGCGGCTTCGGCACAACAGTTTGAGGAAAAACGAAGAAGAGTCAAAAGCGACGCCGAATCTACAAGGATTTCAGTGGGATTTAGGTAAGAATTTCAGGTACGTGTCTCATGTGGAGATCAGCAACAACAGAAATAAATTCTATAATTCAAAACTTAAATACAAATCTATATTTATTGACCCAAAAATAAATCATATACAATACACAAGAATCATATAACTACAATATATCCTTCCATGCCTGAATACAAAAGAATAACTAAAATAAAACGAAACAAAATTTGAGGAATTCTGATCAATCCCACACTCTTGAACCTCTTCCTTGAGCTAAAATCATTTAAACCACATATAATCCAGTAGCCCTTGCACGTAATCCAATACTCAACTCAAATCTTCCAAACACTATCATCACTTTTTTGATATTCTCAACTACCACAAGACATTGAGCTAGTGTCTATACTTGCAATCTCATATTCTCCGAATGAGGGAAATGTTGAGCTTATGTGACCTCATTTACAAAATGGATCATTCTAATTGAGCCAAGCCCTATGGTATTTTCTCATTATAAGTTTTTCACATTAAAAATTCATGTTTTTTATGTTCTTTTTTTTTACCACGTTGTGTGCTAGATCCTCGTGCAAAGTCAACACAAAACAATATATATTCACGAATTTTTTAACACGTTGTGTGCAAGATCCTCATATTCAATTGCTGATTAGTCAAAGTTCAAACCCTATTTAGACAAGATTAGAACAAAGATTTGAACCCTATTTGTACAAGGTCTGAGCAAGGTCAATCATGGTTTAAGGTAGACCTCACTCTCATCATCATCTATCATTCCTTATAATAGCTTATGAAACAAGGCCTTAGAGAACTGCAAAACATGACACATCAGGTTAATGTCTGAGCATTTGCAAATTACCTAAGAATTTTCTCAACCACACCCTTAGTTTTTTATATGTGACCCAAGTAATATTTTATATGTGACCCAAGTAATGTCTCTCTAATAGTATAATAAAAACAGAAATATACTGACATAATAAAATAACTCAAATGAGTTCATTCCAAAAGAGATGGTGAGGGAAAAATGATATAATTTGAATTATATTCAAGCAATAATTTAATAATTAAACCTGGTTCGAACCTTCCGCAAACCTTTTTCCAATCTTCTACTACTGATCGAACTTTTTTCAACCTTAGAATATTATTTGAACCCTAATTGAACCAAATTCAAACTGTATTCAAATCATGTAAAAATAAGTATACAACTAACTTATTTAATCAATTTTGAGTATTATGATTAATGTGAAATCAAATTTCTCAATGTTAAAAGGCATGCATGATTAAAAAGATAACATAGATTTAAAAAAAAAAAAATACCACAAGCATATGCCCCCATGAAAGGACCTTACAAAATCCATTACCAGTTGATTGGTAAATACAAGTTCCATCTCTATTCTTTCTCCAAAAGTAAAAATATAACAAAAAGGAAAACCAAGAAAATGGCAACTTGGTGGTCTTTGAAGCAATTGCCAAACATGGCTCCTTGAGCACCAACAAAGAAACATATAACTGATAATTTGATCAATTGAATTATACAATCATAAAGAGAACTGTATGGGGCAGATGCAGCTGTCTATAAAAATCAACTATAAATTTATTATAAGAAAAAAAAATTATTTTTAAAAGCTAACAACAAATAATATCCATCTTTATGACAGCTTTTTCACATTTTTTTAATTTTTACTTTTTTAACTTGCATAAGATAATACTTCATTTGAGACGGCTTTCTTATTGCTTCTTCAACGAACTTTTTGGTATAAAAATTAAAATTTTTATACTAAAAAACTACTTTTAGAAGCATTAAAAAAGCCATCTCAAACGAAGTCTAAGTGTTGCAGAGATGAAAAAACTAAGATAGATAAGTGACTTCACTGCTCGAGACAGAATGTGAAATGAGTATATACATAAAAAGATTGAGACATTGAGTAGCTTCAAAGGCAGATAAGATTAGAGTCGCCTTAGTTGATTTGATTACATAAAACATCAACCTTCTGATTACCTAATTAGGAGAATAGATATATTATATTTAACATACGTTAAAAAAAGATAAAGGTAGACCTAAAAAGACTTAGAAAATATTAGAAATGAACGTTCTTTATTAGATTTAAATGAAAATTTGACTCTTAACAAGACACAATAGAGAAAAAGAATTCATGTAGCCAACCACACGTGATGATAAACAGAGGCGAAGCCAGAAATTTTATTCAGAGGGGGGGGGGGCTAAATTAAAAATAATTATGTTTGTCGTCTTATTACTAGAGCTAAGAGGAGATGTAAGATCAAAATTAAAAATGCAAATAGCATGACTCTTAGAACTTAGAAGACATAAATATATGTCATGGGCGGTCTCCGTTTGGGGGCGAGAGAAGAGTGAAAGAAAAAATGAAAGTCATACTCGAAGTCGCGAGTCATGAGAGATGAGCAAAAGAGAAAATGAAACAGGCCGTTTAGGTCGAGAGCTAAAATTTACTCTGAGATTCTTTAAAATATTTTCATTTCAACTAATTTAAGTGAGTTTTAAATTCAATCATTTTAATACCATTTCAGCTAAAATTTACTTTAAAATATTTTCATTTCAACTAATTTAAGTGAGTTTTAAATTCAATGATTTTAATACCATTTCAGCCAAAATTTACTTGATATACTTTAAAATAAAATTTTAAATAAAAATCAAAGATTTTAATTAAAATGTATGTAATTTTTTTAATGAGATTTTAATAAGAATATATTAATAAAGGAAATATATTAATTGTAGAGGACAACACATTTTAAAATATATCTAAATATACATATAGGAGGGTGGCTTTAACATCAAAACAAAAAATGGTGGATGGTCAACTTTCCTTTGCTTGATGGTTAAATTTACATTTTAATATTTATGCTTTTCCAAGGCCGGTCCTTTTAGTCTGCCCGCTATCAGTCTTTGGATAAGAATCCTCTTCCATTTAACATAATATAGATAAATCTTACATCAGAAATTGCAGGTGAAGAGAGCTTTTTGGTTGATGGTGATTGGGTGAAGACATATAAAACTGTTTTTTTTTTTTTTTTTTTTTTTTTTTTTTTTTTTTTTGTAAGCATGCCAAAGAACCATAAAAAGCATGTAAGCGTAGAGTGCAATAAAATTTAAATGATAATCTACTTGAAGTTTGAACAGCAATAATAGCTCCACACACCTTAAAGGGCACACTCATTTGAGTTTACAAACAACAGATATAGAATTTCGCATGCAGGAAACATTATATGTTCTTACAAACGAACTAAAGGTTCAATAGATACTACTTAACTCTTAAGAAGCATACAGAACATCAGTCCAAGCCTCCAATCAACTATTCTGAGGCCCTTCATGCTGGAATGTTTCCCCGTTTATATGAGCAGCTTCTCAATTGCATCCTGAGAATTACAGGTACTATGATCTTAGGAGCTAGTTGAATGCAAAAAACCAATAGGATATAGGCAAGAAGAGTAAAGCTACAATGCCAAAATAGCTCAAAAGTAGGGTGTATCAAGCTCAAAATCCACTCAATGCAACTCAATTTGATCTCAATCCCCGCGACAAGTCCTGTTATAGGATGGCTCAATATGATCTAGATTCGAGTGAAAGATTATAACTCGTCAACTTTGACTCGAGCTTATTTTGAGTCAAAAAATGATCCGAACTAGATTAATTATCAATCATCGAAGGCGTCTTATTCCAACATATATAAATATGAATTAATACATAAATGCACATATAAATTTCAATCAAATCCAAGCTTGGCTTAGTTTAAGTTTGATCCATGCAAGGTTTGGCTCACCAATGGGTTTGCTAATTTCGGTTTAAGCTCAAGCCAAGCCAAAAATATCAGTTTGATTTTGTGGTTTTCTATACAAATCACAACCCTACTCAAAATTTTTCTAGGATGTTAGATGAAAGGCATGTGGCCTGGACAGTTCTTTTATCATTTTTTGGGCAACAAAGCACTTGTCATGTGTAAAAATCTCCAGTTGCAAGTTCAAAGGACCAAAAAAGGAAGGCTATCACATATTACCTTCAATTGCTGGATTTGTGATTTCAGTTGGCTCCCCTCATTGCTGGTAACTGAACAAGCAATCACGGGCCTTGTAACCCCACAAGCTCTTCCAAGAGCCTGCTTTGAAGGAACAAAGACATACGGTACATTCTGCCATTGCAAGAGTCAACATAAGCCAACGTTTTTCAGAAATGAGGTTTCCAGCAATCAAGAATAAGCATAGTATGGGATCTATTATTGCAGCAAGAATAAGCATAAAATTAAAAACATATAATTTTAAGGATAACAACAAAATTCGTATGAATCAACTTCTTGAGTGAAAATAACTTCAAAACTTTTTTGTAATTTTTCTTATTATGGATTAGCTCAAAATCAAATTTTGAGCTAAATTTATTTTTAAATTTTAAATCCTTTCAACATCTACAAATATAAAAAGGAAAAGGAGCTTGTATGTGCCTACTGCCTAAAGGTTGTAGAAAACTACTACAACAACATCAAGCCAACTGCTGGTGAAAAATAGAAAAAGGAAAGCGGAAGATAGAGAAAAGATTTCAAGGAGCATCTAAGAAGAGATCTTCTAGGCATAACTTAGATCTCTGTCTTTATTATCTCGCTACATGGTTCTCTTGTACTTTTGCAAGACATTATAAATTTTTCCAAATTTTTTTGATCGAGAGATTTGAGGCTTCATTTATATTGAGAATGGCGAAGTTGAATTTTAAAACCTTTTTATTATGCCCTATTTGTTCTTACAAAAGTGTGGCTTCTTGATATTGTATCAATTATTTTCACCCCTCTTGGTGGGGCATAAGCAATTATTTTAGTCAAGTCAAAACAAATTCTTGGTGTCTTATGTTTGGCTTAATTTCTTTATAGTTACTTTATATGTTAATCAACATAATTTCTAGCAAGCGCTTACCCATAAGCAAGTTCTTCGTAACAACTAGAATAAGAACTTAATGAGAAATATAATAGCAATGAAATATATGAAGAAGAAGTTTAATGGTTTGAAGAGTTCTAAGCTCCGAAAATCAAGGTGTGAGGCATGCTAGTTCGACAAGGACTTGTGTGTGCGACTATAGTGCTAACAAGTAGGATCAATATGACAAATCTCCCTAAATGATTTAATTATGTTAGCAGATGAGGTATAAACAAAAGTCTCAAAGGAAATAATTATAACGGGTTTCTAGCTCAAGTTAGAGTTTTTGTACATGACCAGATGCCACTTCGATAATTTTTATCAAATTTTACTAATCAAACAAGTAAGAGTGCATTCACATCAAACTTTTTAATTCCATTATAAAAATTTTGAGGTATATTAATTTGATAATTAATAATGATCAACTTTATTACTCTTACTCTTTATGTCCCTTTTATAAGCATTGCTACAACACATTATATGGTATAAATATAACAGAGTCTAATATATAGGATCTTAACCATTCATTTCTTTTTAAAAAAGTGATTAAAAAATTTTAGGGGTGCGGAAATAAAAAATAGACTAATGCACGCAAAGAAAGATTGGCAAGCTTACATCTATTGCAAAAAAGCAAGGGCATGTTAAGAAAGTTTTTCAAACTTTGAAGTGAAAGAAGTAGCATACCAGAGGCAACAATAGAGGCGGCAGGTCAACAAATGCTAATATAATTCTAAATTAGCCAAATGCAATTTTGGTGATGCTCTAAAAGACGTAATGCAATGGATTATGAATTCATCATGTTTGTATCATATGTATCCTCATAAGAATTGTTTTCCATTTATGATTCATGTACAAGTAGGGGTATCAATTTCGGGTCTTGTGTTAAACCCGGAACTAACCCGGCACTATTCGGGTCAACTCAAACCCGACCAATTTTTGCATACGGATCGATTTTCCAGACTCGAACCCGACCCAACCCACTTCGGTTTCAGCAACGGCACAAATTGCACGACTTAGGCATCACGAGGTAGCCGGCATCGGCAGGCGAGCGCGACGGCGCGTCAGACGCAACTACGGCTTCAGGGCAGCCGCGAGGCTCAGCAGGCGAGCACGAAAGTGAGGCATACGCGAAGGCGCAGCAGGCGGGGCAGCAGGGGCAGGTTGGCAAGCTACGCGAGTAGTTTTCGCGGCTCGATGCACGTGGGCAGTCGGGCCACAGGGCATCATCAATATGTACACACAGTCAACCATGGAAAATAGTCCATGCCATGGCACATAGCATGACACGATGCAAGGGGTTAAAATAATGTATTATTTGTGTTATGCACAAGTAATAATGCACAATGCATAACTCCCATAGCACGCACTATTTTAATTTATATTATTTAGAATTATAAATTATTATTTATATTATTTATTATTTAATTTTTAATTTCTCTGAAGCCCTATCCTGATCTCACAAGTTTCACAACCCGCAAGATATCACTCAGCTTCCTCTCTACGTCCAACATTAGTATATTGAGCAATTTACATCGCCCACCGCAAGCATCCCTTTCATTCACCTGTCTCACTCATCTCAGTTGTCCACCTTACAAGCCTGCAACTCTATGCTTTGTTAGTCTCACACGCAAGCACCACAACTTGAAAGTTGAAAAATCTCTTCCTGCTTCAACATCGCATGTCGTAAACTCTTGATCTTACCAAACAATGGAGGACTTGAAAAGGCTTCCATGAAGGTATTTGTTCCCACCTTTGATGTTGAATTTTCTATTTATGTATTGTAGCCAAAAGTTTACCATTTAACAAAATTTTCAAACTTCTAAATTGTATTTTATTCGTCAAAATTTTTTTGTGTCCATGTTTTGAGCCACCTCTATTACTATTATGTACTTGAAAGTTAGTTGGATTTAGTTCAATCTACAACTAAATATCCAATATTAACAGGACACAATGGTGAAAAAGGATTCATGTAGCCGACCCCACGTAGTGGGACAAAGGCATGATGTTGTTGTTGTTGTTGTACAACTAAATATCTTGGCAACAGAAAGGATAACAATTGCAATGACATGTATTTTGTGGGAAAATGATAAGAGTTACTCATCACAAACAACATTAGGTTAGGTGTTTAGAATTGTTAAATCTTGTATAACTACCTTCATCATGAGTCTTTGAAGAATAAAAAAAGAGTTAAAAGACAAAATAATGGCATGCCCTGTGTCAATATTAATGAAAGTAATGATCTTGATATGATTAGATACCATAAAACAAAATTAAATGTGTCCAGTAAAAATTCAATGAAATTTATGCTAAAGAACCAAAGGTCATAGGACCGCTAGTTGATGAATCAGATGAATAAATTATTTATTGGTGATGAAAATTTGACATGGAGTAATGTTGTTAAAACCGTTGATATTTATAAAGTAAACTACAATATTCACAAGCGATCTGAAGGCAAAGAGAATGAATCTTCATCTATACTTAACATTTTTGTAATTGAACATGAAGATGATGAGGGAGACAAAAATTATTATGATTTAGGAGATAATGATGATGAAGCTGATGAAGAAAATTAGGCTTTTTTTACTTATGATGATGATTTCTAAGATGACTAGCTTTAAAAAAAATATTAGACTTGCAAAAAAAAGTAATATTTTGATTTTTTAATTTTAAGAGATTGAGGTGTTGAGCACTTGAACTTATGCATCACTCTAGTTGTTTTTATTATCACACAAAGAATTTGATCATGGTGCACCTTAAGATTTAAATATATGGTCAATGATAGCAAGGTGATGCTAAAACGTTGAACTTAAAGGGTATTCATCTTCAAAGTATCAGTGATTGAGGATGAAGCATGAAATACAAGGGTCTAAAAAGGGAGTACATGAAAGTAGTGTTTCAGAGTCAATTTCAGTTATTGAACAATATGAAAATTATGTACCACAACTCAAAAATCTCCATGTAAAAGAACAGCCATGGCAAAATACTTTATTATCATGACAAAAATATTATTACAGCTAGCAATGTGGTGCTCTTGACAGATATGTCATTAAATCAAATACCATCTAGATAAACAAATAATCCCTACCTGTGACACATCAATTTGAGTGACAGTAAGTTACAGGATAGCCAAAATAAGCTCCTTTGCAACATCAATCCTAGAATTTCTACTCCCAAATATATGCGACAAAAAACATCAATGAATTAGAGCATTTGATGCATTCTTATATTGCAGCATACCCTACTCCAAAAAAAAAATTCAAGCTTTTTAGATTGCAAGAAGATAGATGTGGTCCGAAAATCTAAAAGTTAACTTTTAGTCAAGTGTCTTGTCAAGTGCGAGAACTTGCTTTGCATAGCAGCATTGTCAGAATAAAAGACTATATAACCATCAGGTGGAAACTGAAAAATATAATCTACAATACCATATTACTATGCACTTTTAGCCATTAAGGAAAATACCAAAGAAAACTTTCACAAAATAAAATAGAGAGAAAAATTTTTTATAGCATGAATCCTATGATGCACCGACACTTCTGCTCAAAGAGGCGTGCAGTGTCCGACACCGTGTCCGACTCCAAAAAAAAAATTCAAGCTTTTTAGATTGCAAGAAGATAGATGTGGTCCGAAAATCTAAAAGTTAACTTTTAGTCAAGTGTCTTGTCAAGTGCGAGAACTTGCTTTGCATAGCAGCATTGTCAGAATAAAAGACTATATAACCATCAGGTGGAAACTGAAAAATATAATCTACAATACCATATTACTATGCACTTTTAGCCATTAAGGAAAATACCACAGAAAACTTTCACAAAATAAAATAGAGAGAAAATTTTGTTATAGCATGAATCTCTGCAAAGTTTGAATTATCATATAACTTTATGCATAGTTCTGTGAATTCAAAATTGATATATCTAGAATCTAGCTTGCTAAAATACTTCTCCTTGCATCTATTTAATAAATTACTGCATCAAGTGCACGTTCTAAGGCATTGATGAAAAAATGACAGATTGACATGGAACAAGAACAAAATGATCCAAGGACAAAGAACTCATTCATTATTACATCTCATCTGCATAACCTTTTCCATGATAATTTTAAACCTGCAAATATTATCCCTACAACTTATACTAGTAAAGGACTTCTTTGAAACAAGTAGAAAAGAAAAGAACACATCACACATCATTCTTGTCATTGTTAGTCGGCTGATAGTCATAACGCACAATAGCTATCTTGCTAACCTCACAATTGGATCGCTTTAACAGGCAAATTCACATTTTCTGTAGGTGTGAATACATTTTCCTCCCCACCACCGCCACCACAAAAAAAAAATGCATTTACTTGCACTTGCACATTCATTAATTGTTAACTTAATACTGCAAGTCCTATGGAGGTAGTGAAATTAAAACAATTCACATAAAGAGCTTCCCACATTTCAAAGTGCCAAATTTTGAACAATTTATTAAGCATAGTGAAAAACAAGAATGAGAACAAGAACAACAAACCTCTGGAGTCATAAAAGAGATATAATAAAAACCAAATGAATACCAGCAGATACATCTATATATGGATAATTAGATATAAAGGACAAAGATCATAAAAAAGATAAGCGCAGTTTCCTGTGAAAACTGAAATTATACATGCATAGCAAGAAAGGCTGAAGCAGAGAGCATGACAGGACAATCTAATACTGTTACGAGTCACTTTTTAGTACGGTATCCAGGCAAAAAGAGTTCGAATAAATGGCTGCTATAGTATAGAGCTTTGAGCAACACAGAAGTTACCTTGTCCTCTGCCAGTAAGGGAAGGTGGAGAAGGATTTCGATTGGCTCGGTATCCGCGGCCATGACAACGAACTCTGAAATTCCCCTGTTAAGAGTTTTTGTCGCTGCACATAGAAAGAGCTCAAAGAATCCAACTCAGTATTAAATAGAAAGAACAAACAAGAAACAGCGAGAAAAAAGAACTTTTTGGGAGAGAAAACCTTCATTGGCGCCCTTCTTCAGTTGCTTATAGTTGGCGGCTTGCTGGATGAGGTCGAGGATGGTGATGGACAGCTGGTTGTCCGCCAAAGGATAAGCCTTGGGATTTACTTCCTCGGTCTGAAAAACACAGGAAGAGTTCCTCTGTTTAGAGGTTTGCAGAGCGGAGAAGCACCTAAAAGAAAAAATATATATATGAACATGGGAAGAGGATGGAGAGATAAGGGGGTCCGCACCATTTTCTCTATTGTTTTCGGCGGCAGGAGCTGGAGAAGCTGCAGGTAGTTGTTGAAGAAGAAGGCGAAGTGGGCGGCTCGGAGAAGAAAGGTAAGAGAGGTTTTTGGCCTTTTGAGCAGAATTAGGGTTTTGGCCTTCGAGAAAACAAGAGCTTTGGCCAATCAATTAATTTTTTATTTATTTATTATTTAGTTTAATAACTATTTTTGGCTTAATGGGATAGCTACGCTTGCAAAAATTATTAAGATTAATTTATTTATTGTAGAAAAGATTATAATGAGGAATATAAGTAATCTTGAAATTAAAAATAAATCTATTCATAATTTCTTATCAAAACTAATAAATTTTACTCAATTTTATTTCTAATATTATATAAAAAATTAAATTTCAAACTATTTTTTATTATGTTATTATCAAATTTAATTATACTTTTTATTTTTAATTTATAATACAATATTTGTTTAATATTTTTATTATCAAATATTCATAAAAAATATTTTTTTGTTTTTTTAATCTATTTATTTAGCTATTTGCTTAATATGGTTATCATATTTATAATTTTAATAATATAAATAACTTTTAAAATCTATAAAAGATAAAAAATCATATACTAACTTATAATAAGTTATCAAATAAATTAATAAATTATCATTAAATGAGCATTATTAACAAACTCGTAATCACCTACTTATTAAACAATAAATAGGCATTTTATTTAAGAACCCATTATCTAATATAAAAGTTTGCTTCTTTGTATCTCTTGTTTTGAGAACTTACTCAAGTTTATTCAATCATTTAAATAAATAAACAAAAATGAGTAGTATATGAATGAGTATCAAGATATGCATCTAGTACACAAATTTTCTTACAATTCTAGAAGTGTCAAACCCTTAGCTAATTTCAATTCTTGAAAACACTTTGTTTTACACATTAAAATAACTTTCAATCAAAATTTTATTATCATTAAAATCAAATTCATGTAACTTGGGACTCGTGGGGAATATATAAGTTACAATCACTAAGAATATCAGACATTAGGTGATGGTGGACAATCATTTTAGATGTTCTACTAATAAGAGAAGAGTCTGAGTGATTGATATGATATACATTAAATATATGTGGTTGATAGTTATTAAATGTTAATAGACGTTGAGCGATAGTAAATGGGAATATCAAGTATCATATAATAGTGGACGGTCAACTTGGTTGTTCTCTTGATAAAAGATAAGATCAAACATTCTATAATGGTCAACTAATGATGAAAATAAATCAATAGTGGGCGGTAATTTATTCATTATTCTGATATGAGGCAAGACAATGCAATTGGTACGATATGAGTGTTAGACGAATATCAACAAATGTTGTGAGCAACAATAGTTGTTGAGTGATATCAAATAGGTGTTAGAGATTGCCAAGTGTTTAAGAATGTTTTAAATATATTTTGATAACTAGATTTTTTTGTTATGATTAAACTGACACGACACCTTAGCAATTCATAACTAAATTGAGCAAACTACCAGTGATTAGCCACCATAAGCAACAGTGGATTGTGGTGATCTACTTATGGTTGAGTTAAATTAAGGTTTGACCTTAGGCTAGCCAAATTGAATTGGGTTGGGATTGATTATTGTCCCATGATCCTAAAAGTTGTTTAGCAAAGTTTGAAAGTATTTAGGTATAATTATAATGGTTTTAGGTTAAGCAAATCTATGATGGGTCATTTTGAATCATTGGTCAAATTAGGTTTGAACATGATAGAAGGAGATTGAACATGGATCAAACATGAATCCAAAATTTCCTGAAATAGATTTAAACCATTTGAACTAGCTACTAAGGCCGTTAAATTTGGATTAATTATTTGAATTTTAATTTAAGCATTTGAGGATTAAAGGGTAGCTTTGCTCAAAATTTCTTTTACAAAGAACTTAAATAAGTCAACCAATACACTTTGACACATGGGTTGGGTCCAAGAAAAGGTAAATGTGTCACCCCCCAGAATCTAATGGAAGAATTAAATTTTAAATCTAATCATCTCAACCACATTGTAGAATATATCGAAGCCTACTAAATAATCTAAAATAAATTAAATGACAAAATGACATTCTAAATTTATTTTAAAAAGAATCATATCCAAATAATCCAATACAAGTTCAATATATACATCAAATATAATAACTCAATTACAAAAATACCTTAATACAAAACTTCTAACTATCCCGCCCTTATTAAGATCTACTTCGTTGGACCTTTCCCTTTTTATTAAAGTTTGTAAATACTAAAGTGAGCTTCACATGCTCAGTTGGGCACCCCAAGTCCAATTGTATATATAAATTGTCACAACTTAGCCCAACATGACCCATAGACAAAACAATACATTTGGTGTTGGATGGTGACATACCGAGCTTAGGATCAAGGTTTTGAAGATTTTTTAGATTTTTTTAATTTAAGATAAACCACTTAACTTCCAACTAAACACATAGCTACTAATTAACTTCTTCCAACTGAACATAAAGTAAACTCATCCATAATTTTATTTTCTTTTTTTCATTCATCTTCAAAATGCATATACATCAAATCTATCACTACAGTATATGGCTACAAATCATAACATAAAAAGAAATAAATAGTTGGGACTATAAAAAAAATTAGTTAATATATATACCGACTCATATATATTAAAACTTGCAACCTCAACTAATCAACTAACACATTTACCCTTTCCCTGACCTAAAACATAATGCATAATAGGTGTGAGCTAACATAGCTCATCAGATCATACCCATTAATTTTATTTTTTAATAATTAATTCATTATATATTTAATAGCATTTTAATATTAGTTAATAACAATTCATTGTAATGGGCATAATAATGTAAAATAGATAATCAATATAACGTAATATCAATTATAGATTTTCAATCAAGTAGTTCTATCCAAAATAAATGCGAAAAATAAAATGCAGAAAAAATAAAATTAGAAAGAATACACCATATTTATAGTTGTTCGGTCCAAGCTGACCTACGTCTACTCTTCGGAGGCACCCTCAGAGTATTACACTAAACCTTTAGTGACTTTGTTTTAACCCCCACAGGTAGGTGGAGAAGCCCTTACAAAATTACTTTCACCTTCCCCTGTGTGGTAGAGTAGTTGGGTTCTTTGACATCAAAGAGATCTTTTTCTTCCCAAAACTTTTCTGAAAATTAATGTTGAATCTAATGGTACTAAGGTTCAAGCTTGCCTGAGTAAACGTGTTAAATCTCCTCCACACTCTCTTGAAACCCTCTCCAAGGACATTCTCCCTGTCATACTCCACCATTTCCTCTCTCCTTTCAAATTATCTCTTCAAGTTTTATCTAGAAGAACGAAGATACAATGGCTACCAAAGACACTTAATTATTAGGTGCCTTAATAAAGCTTTAATAGAGGACTTTGAAAAACCCTAAAAATTTAATTATGTCATCAAATATCATATAATACCATCCTGAGATTGTTATGTACGATTAATATAAAATAACCCTTTCAATAGTGCTATCAGCATTGTCTTGTGCGATCGGTTCAAATTTTTGCATAGATTGTCCAGTATAATCTTGAGATTGTTTGAGATAATTAGTTCAATTGAAATACAGTTCGTTTAGGATGAAATATGGGATGACCCTGTGGACCTCTGAAAGGACACCACCGCAGCTACAGAGTGCAGAGGTGTATACGACCGCACCACCCCGAGGGATAGAGACGATCGCAGGCCTCTGCGCTCTTCGCAAATGGGCCAATAGAAGGGCAGATTAGATCTTACATATGACTAACCATTGAGGATAGAGGCTCTCACCAGCGCACCCAGATGGATAGTAATATATATGACATGATCAGTGGCATGGGTTTTCCCCACCTGATACATCAGCTCGAGTGGAGTTTATTTGGTGGTGGAGTTTCATTTCCCACTAGTGCAAGCCCTCGTTGTTAATTACATCTCAAGCCTAGGGCTCGAAAAAACTCTTGATTAAGGATTCAATATTATTATTCTAGGATAAGAGATTGGCACACAAAAGGGATACTATGAAGTTCCTACTCAAAAGAAAGATAGGCTCAAGTTGCTTAATCAACATGCAAGGCTCATATCCACACTCGGAGGGACTAAGACATTGAGAAAGTAGATAAAAGAAATCAATCAATAAAAGTATCTAGAGAAAAATAATTGAAGTGGCATTATTCATGTGACGTGGATAAGCAGGATTTATAGTCCTTAAAGAGAAGAGACTTACCCACTATTTAGGCATACTATGTGACATCTAATATAGTAGCCTTGAATCATAGGTCTAAGGTGGCTTTAGTGTTCTACCCAACACTAACACCCATGTCATAGCTAATGCACATGAGATTATATCTTGCCTAAAAAGGAATGCCATCTAACCACCTAAGCGATTCAAATCAATGTTATCCGATCTTTATGAAAGATGTGTAAGTAATTTGAGTTTTTGGAAGTATGACCGATGTCTAGAGAGTTTCCTAATTGGCCCTAGACTTATGTAGGATAAATGCTCCTAGAGCTAATGTAATTAAAGTTTTATTTTAGTTATTTTCTAATGAAATGTAGGTTGGTTAAAGGGCTAAAACCATGTATGCATAAGATTTTTAAAATAGATTTATATAAAAATAATTTTTAGAAAAGGCTAGGCCTCCCCAGGTCTGACACTTCATCCTCATAAGCCAGATTATCTATACTCTACCCATAGGCAGGGAGGTATCTTATTAGAAGGAGAGAGAAAATGCATCGATATGTATGCGACCCCGGATAGCTCTGGCTATTCCCTAGGTCATTAAGTTTCTAAGTTATTTAATTCTTAAGATTTTAAAATTTGGTTACGAGTAGAAAAATGATTTTTGTCCTAGAGAGCCTAGCGAAAATAGGTCACACACATGCAAGAAAAAATCAAGAAAAATAGGTAATTTTTACTGCTCAAACATAATAAACATATTAATAAAAATAAACCACAAAAAGTAAAGTCTAAAGTCTGTGGCAAGTGTCATATAAGTACAACTCGGGGTCTGCACCAAAGTAATAATGGTTAGGCTCCACCGACAACAATCTAGATTCTAATCCTAATAAATGGCGTTAGTCTTAAAATCCAAACATTTCATCTTCAAGTCTCTATCT